TCCAGTTGATTAAGGGACATTTTTTATACCCAAGGGAAGAGCTCCAGAGATAATTCCTACAGAGGGCCATAATTTTCTTCATTACCTTATTAGGCATCAAGAAGATCCTACTCCAGAAGGAAATAATACCATACAGAACCGAGTTAATCAACTTGGCTCTACCTGCATAGGACAAATTTTTTGTGGTCCAGGAAGTAATCTGCCTAGTTAGTTTATCCACCATAACATCACAATCTCTCTCACTTATCCTGGAGGCAGTTATAGGTCCACCTAGATATCTAAAAGGAAAAGCTCCTTTCGCCATACCAGTTCTCTTCAGGATATCCCTCTGGATCTCATTTGTGACTCCTCCCAGAAAGATTTGAGACTTGTTGTAATTAGGAGTTAAACCCATATTGTCCTTGAAATGCCTAAGGCGGGAAAGGATACACTCAATGGAGTCAACTTCAGGCTTACAAGCAACAATTAAATCATCAGCAAATAGAATATTGATTAAACTAAGAGCCTTGCATCTAGGGTGGTACTTAAATCTGTCATTTTTTGAGTAGTAGGAGAGGGCTCTGGTTAAATACTCCATGATTAAGGTGAATAACAAGGGGGAGACTAGATCCCCTTGTCTTAGTCCCCCTAAAGCTTGATGCCTAAACTAAAAAATTATAATTTAGATATTGTTGACTAGTTTTGAAATGAAACTTTTACAAAGGATTTTACATGCAAATAGAAACATCTATGTCAAATTTCATAACTCTTTTGATTAATTTAAAATTTGGCCAAAAAATGTGATGGTACCCCAAGAGCTCGAGGCCAAAACTAAACAAATTAAAATTTAGATTATGTTGACAAATAGTTTTGACATGAAACTTTTACAAAGGATTTTAAATGTAAATAGAAACATCTATGTCAAATTTCACAACTTTTTAGATGAATTTAAAATTTCGCTAAAATATGTGATGGTACCCCTAGAGCTCGAGGCCAAAACTAAAAACAATTATAACTTAGACATTATTGACAAATATTTTTGACATGAAAATTTTACAAAAGATACTACGTGAAAATAGGAACATTTATATCCATGTCAAATTTTGCAACTTTTTGATGAATTTAAAATTTCACCAAAAAATGTGAAGGTACCCCTAGAGCCTGAAGCCAAAACTAAGAAATTATAATTTAGATGTTGTTGACAAGTAGTTATGACATGAAACTTTTAGAAACGATTTTACATGCAAATAGAAACATCTATGTAAAATTTCACAACTTTTTTGATGAATTTAAAATTTCGCCAAAAAATATGATGGTACCTCTAGGGCTCGAGGCCAAAACTAAAAAAATTATAGTTTAGATATTGTTGACAATTAGTTTTGACATAAAACTTTTACAAACAATTTTACATGCAAATAGAAACATCTATATCAAATTTCATAACTTTTTTGATTAATTTAAAATTTAGCCAAATAATGTGATAGTATCCCTAGACCTCGAGGCCAAAACTAAAAAAATTATAATTTAGATATTGTTGACAATTAGTTTTGACATGAAACATTTACAAAAGAATTTACATTCAAATAGAAACATATATGTCAAATTTCATAACTTTTTTGATGAATTTAAAATTTCGCCAAAAAATGTGATGGTACCCCTAGAGCCCGAGGACAAAAATAAAACAATTATAATTTAGACATTGTTTACAAGTAGTTTTGACATAAAACTTTTACAAAGGATTTTACATGCAAATAGAAACATCCATGTCAAATTTTGCAATTTTTTTGATGAATTTTAAAATTTGACCGAAAAATGTGATGGTACCCCTAGAGCTCGAGACCAAAACTAATAAAAATATAATTTAGATATTATTGACAAGTAGTTTTGACATGACACTTTTACAAAGGATTTTACATGCAAATAGAAAATCTATGTCAAATTTCACAACTTTTTTGATTAATTTAAAATTTCGCCAAAAAATGTGATGGTCCCTAGAGCTCGAGGCCAAAACTAAAAAAAATTATAACTTAGACATTGTTGACAAGTAGTTTTGACATGAAACTTTTACAAATGATTTTACATGTAATAGAAACATCCATGTCAAATTTCGCAATTTTTTTTGATAAATTTAAAATTTCACCAAAAAATGCAATGGTACCTCTAGAGCTCGAGGCCAAAACTAAAAAAATTATTATTTAGACATTGTTGACAAGTAGTTTTGACATGAAACTTTTACAAAAGATTTTACATGCAAATAGAAACATCTATGTCGAATTTCATAACTTTTTTGATGAATTTAAATTTTCGCTAAAAATGTGATGTTACCCCTAAAGCTTGAGGCCAAAACTAAAAAATTATAATTTAGATATTTTTGACAAGTAGTTTTGAAATGAAACTTTTACAAAGGATTTTACATGCAAATAGAAACATCTATGTAGAATTTCATAACTTTTTTGATTAATTTAAAATTTGGCCAAAAAATGTGATGGTACCCCTAGAGCTCGAGGCCAAAACTAAAAAAAAATTAAATTTAGATTATGTTGACAAGTAGTTTTGACATGAAACTTTTACAAAGGATTTTACATACAAATAGAAACATCCATGTCAAATTTCATAATTTTTTTTGCTGAATTTAAAATTTCGCCAAAAAACAATATGGTACCCCTAGAGCCCGAGGACAAAACTAAAACAATTATAATTTAGAAATTGTTGACAAGTAGTTTTGACATAAAACTTTTACAAAGGATTTTACATGCAAATAGAAACATCCATGTCAAATTTCATAACTTTTTTGATGAATTTAAAATTTCGCCAAAATATGTGATGGTACTCCTAGAGCTCGAGGCCAAAACTAAAAAAAATTATAACTTAGACATTATTGACAAGTATTTTAGACATGAAAATTTACAAACGATTTAACGTGAAAATGGGAACATCCATGTTAAATTTCGCAACTTTTTGATAACTTTGAAAATTCGCCAAAAAATGTGAAGGTATCTATAGAGCCTGAAACCAAAACTAAGAAATTATAATTTTGATGTTGTTGACAAAAAGTTTTGACATGAAACTTTTAGAAAGGATTTTACATGCAAATAGAAACACCTATGTCAAATTTTACAACTTTTTTGATGAATTTAAAATTTCGCCAAAAAATAAGATGGTACCCCTAGGGCTCGGGGCCAAAACTAAAAAAATTATAATTTAGATATTATTGACAATTAGTTTTGACATGAAACTTTTACAAAGGATTTTACATGCAAATAGAAACATCTATTCAAATTTCATAACTTTTTTGATTAATTTAAAATTTAGCCAAAAAATGTGATAGTACCCCTAGACCTCGAGGCCAAAACTAAAAAATTATAATTTAGATATTGTTGACAATTAGTTTTGACATGAAACTCTTACAAAGGAATTTACATTCAAATAGAAACATCTATGTCAAATTTCATAACTTTTTTTATGAATTTAAAATTTCGCCAAAAAATGTGATGGTACCCCTTGAGCCCGAGGACAAAAATAAAACAATTATAATTTAGACATTGTTGACAAGTAGTTTTGACATAAAACTTTTACAAACGATTTTACATGCAAATAGAAACATGTCAAATTTCGCAATTTTTTTGATGAATTTTAAAATTTGACCGAAAAATGTGATGGTACCCCTAGAGCTCGAGACCAAAACTAAAAAAATTATAATTTAGACATTGTTGACAAGTAGTTTTGACATGAAACTTTTACAAAAGATTTTCCATGCAAATAGAAACATCTATGTCGAATTTCGCAACTTTTTTGATGAATTTAAATTTTCGCTAAAAAATGTGATGTTACCCCTAAAGCTTGAGACCAAAACTAAAACATTATAATGTAGATATTTTTGACAAGTAGTTTTGAAATGAAACTTTTACAAAGGATTTTACATGCAAATAGAAACATCTATGTCGAATTTCATAACTGTTTTGATTAATTTAAAATTTGGAAAAAAAATGTGATGGTACCCCTAGAGCTCGAGGCCAAAACAAAAAAAATTAAATTTATATTATGTTGACAAGTAGTTTTGACATGAAACTTTTACAAAGGATTTTACATGCAAATAGAAACATCCATGTCAAATTTCATAACTTTTTTGATGAATTTAAAATTTCGCCAAAAAATAATATGGTACCCCTAGAGCCCGAGGACAAAACTAAAACAATTATAATTTAGAAATTGTTGACAAGTAGTTTTGACATAAAACTTTTACAAAGGATTTTACATGCAAATAGAAACATCCATGTCAAATTTCATAACTTTTTTGATGAATTTAAAATTTCGCCAAAATATGTGATGGTACCCCTAGAGCTCGAGGCCAAAACTAAAAATAATTATAACTTAGACATTATTGACAAGTATTTTTGACATGAAAATTTACAAAAGATTTTACGTGAAAATAGGAACATCAATGTCAAATTTCGCAACTTTTTGATGAATTTAAAAATTCGCCAAAAAATGTGAAGGTACCTCTAGAGCCTGAAGCCAAAACTAAGAAACTATAATTTAGATGTTGTTGACAAGTAGTTTTGACATGAAACTTTTAGAAAGGATTTTACAAGCAAATAGAAACACCTATGTCAAATTTCACAACTTTTTTGATGAATTTAAAATTTCGCCAAAAAATATGATGGTACCCCTAGGGCTCGGGGCCAAAACTAAAAAAATCATAATTTAGATTATGTTGACAATTAGTTTTGACATGAAACTTTTACAAAGGATTTTACATGCAAATAGAAAACCAAGGATGGAAAGGTTTGGATCAACATTCCAGAAGGAAACCAAGGTTTGGGTTTAACCTCTTTTACATCCTACTTTAAGGCAGTTTTTGAATCTTTTAGACTCTCCCTTCCCCCACCTCCTCCTTTTTTAGACAAGGCAGTGGTGTGTTTTAACCCCTTCCCCTCCTCACCACTGCCTTTCGAGCCTTCCATCTCTTCTTACTTGCTCACCTTAGATATCCTAGGTGGTTATAGCCACCTCAAGGAACCACAAGAGCCAGCTTCTGCAACCCCACTTCCACCTTTCCCTATCCCTCATAGCCCTCTCTCTCCAGCAGCTCAACCTTTCATTCCTTGTGCAAAGGACTGCTCACAACCGATGGACCAACCTCACTTCTTGGGGTGCTCAAATTCTGATAATGATAATGACTTGGAAAGATCACAGTGGAACGTGAGCTACAACTCAGGCTCAGAGAAGCAGTCAAAGCCCTATTTTAAGCCTCTTTGTGAAGATTCAGAAGAAGAATGGGTTACAGATAGAGGGTCGGAAGATGAACCAGACTGGCATACTAGGAAAGAAGCAAGTAAAAGGAAAAATCAGAGGAAGTTTGAGCAGCTCTGTCTTCAGTTCAAAGACTCCCCAATGCCAAGGAGGAGCAGGAGACTAACAGACCTGAAAACTAGATTAATTCAGGAGAAAAGTTTGCTTTAAAGTCCCTAATCTCCTTTCGGTTTTAATTGCTCAGTTTTTATTAAGGCTGGGATCGAACTAGTTTCCATTATTTTTTAATAGTGGATGATATCCAGGAGTCCATCTTGGTTTACTTCCCAATTTAGCAGCTACAACAACTGGATTGAGATACAGAAAGTGAAGCAAAGCAAGCCCCTTTGGAGAATAGCTGTTGATTTCCTTGTCTTGATTCTCTTTGGATTTTTGCTGATGTAATTTCTTTATCACTAGCTGTTTGAGGGTCTTTTTACAGCATCTACTTGTGGCAGTAGCCCCCCTCCTTTTGGCCTACTTGTTTTGGCACTTTCCATTTACTTTCTAGCTTTCTAGTATGATGTTATGTTTAGGTCTTTTTTTGTGGACTGATGTTTAGGTCTTTTACTTCCGTGCTGGGTGTTTTGGCAGTACACAATCTGCCTTGTATTGTTTTTCTTTCTTTTTTTCTTTTCTTGTAATAAAAATTTCGTTCCAATCAAAAAAAAAAATAGAAACATCCATGTCAAATTTCGGAACTTTTTGATGAATTTTAAATTTCGCCAAAAAATTTGAGGGAACCCCTAGAGCTCGAAGCCAAAACTAAGAAATTATAATTTAGATGTTGTTGACAAGTAGGTTTGACATGAAACTTTTACAAAGGATTTTACATGCAAATAGAAACATCTATGTCAAATTTCGCAACTTTTTTGATGAATTTAAATTTTCGCTAAAAAATGTGATGTTACCCCTAAAGCTTGAGACCAAAACTAAAACATTATAATGTAGATATTTTTGACAAGTAGTTTTGACATAAAACTTTTACAAAGGATTTTACATTCAAATAGAAACATCAATGTCAAATTTCACAATTTTTTTGATGAATTTTAAAATTTGACCGAAAAATGTGATGGTACCCCTAAAGCTGGAGACCAAAACTAAAAAAATTATAATTTAGATATTATTGACAAGTAGTTTTGACATGAAACTTTTACAAAGGATTTTACATGCAAATAGAAAATCTATGTCAAATTTCACAACTTTTTTGATTAATTTAAAATTTCGCCAAAAAATGTGATGGTCCCTAGAGCTCGAGGCCAAAACTAAAAGAAATTATAACTTAGACATTGTTGACAAGTAGTTTTGACATGAAACTTTTACAAATGATTTTACATGTAATAAAAGCATCCATGTCAAATTTCGCAATTTTTTTGATAAATTTAAAATTTCACCAAAAAATGTGATCGTACCCCTAGAGCTCGAGGCCAAAACTAAAAAAAATTATAATTTAGACATTGTTGACAAGTAGTTTTGACATGAAACTTTTACAAAAGATTTTACATGCAAATAGAAACATCTATGTCGAATTTCGCAACTTTTTTGATGAATTTAAATTTTCGCTAAAAAATGTGATGTTACCCCTAAAGCTTGAGACCAAAACTAAAAAATTATAATGTAGATATTTTTTACAAGTAGTTTTGAAATGAAACTTTTACAAAGGATTTTACATGCAAATAGAAACATTTATGTCGAATTTCATAACTGTTTTGATTAATTTAAAATTTGGCAAAAAAATGTGATGGTACCCCTAGAGCTCGAGGCCAAAACTAAAAAAAATTAAATTTAGATTATGTTGACAAGTAGTTTTGACATGAAACTTTTACAAAGGATTTTACATGCAAATAGAAACATCCATGTCAAATTTCATAACTTTTTTGATGAATTTAAAATTTCGCCAAAAAATAATATGGTACCCCTAGAGCCCGAGGACAAAACTAAAACAATTATAATTTAGAAATTGTTGACAAGTAGTTTTGACATAAAACTTTTACAAAGGATTTTACATGCAAATAGAAACATCCATGTCAAATTTCATAACTTTTTTGATGAATTTAAAATTTCGCCAAAATATGTGATGGTACCCCTAGAGCTCGAGGCCAAAACTAAAAAAAATTATAACTTAGACATTATTGACAAGTATTTTTTACATGAAAATTTACAAAAGATTTTACTTGAAAATAGGAACATCCATGTGCAACTTTTTGATGAATTTAAAAATTCGCCAAAAAATGTGAAGGTACCTCTAGAGTCTGAAGCAAAAACTAAGAAATTATAATTTAGATGTTGTTGACAAGTAGTTTTGACATGAAACTTTTAGAAAGGATTTTACAAGCAAATAGAAACACATATGTCAAATTTCAAAACTTTTTTGATGAATTTAAAATTTCGCCAAAAAATATGATGGTACCCCAAGGGCCCGGGGCCAAAACTAAAAAAATTATAATTTAGATATTGTTGACAATTAGTTTTGACATGAAACTTTTACAAAGGATTTTACATGCAAATAGAAACATCTTTTCAAATTTCATAACTTTTTTGATTAATTTAAAATTTAGCCAAAAAATGTGATGGTGCCCCTAGACCTCGAGGCCAAAACTAAAAAAAATTATAATTTAGATTATGTTGAAAAGTAGTTTTGACATGAAACTTTAACAAAGGATTTTACATGCAAATAGAAACATCCATTTCAAATTTCGCAACTTTTTGATGAATTTTAAATTTCACCAAAAAATGTGAGGGAACCCCTAGAGCTCGAAGCCAAAACTAAGAAATTATAATTTAGATGTTGTTGACAAGTAGTTTTGACATGAAACTTTTACAAAGGATTTTACATGCAAATAGAAAATCCATGTCAAATTTCGAAAACTTTTTGATGAATTTTAAATTTCGCCAAAAAAATGTGAAGGAACCCCTAGAGCTCGAAGCCAAAACTAAGAAATTATAGTTTAGATGTTGTTGACATGTAGTTTTGACATGAAACTTTTAGAAAGGATTTTACATGCAAATAGAAACATCTATGTCAAATTTTATAACTTTTTTGATGAATTTAAAATTTCGCCAAAATATGTTATGGTACCCCTTGAGCTCGAGGCCAAAACTAAAAAAAATTATAACTTAGACATTATTGACAAGTATTTTTGACATGAAAATTTTACAAAAGATTTTACGTGAAAATAGGAATATCCATGTCAAATTTCGCAACTTTTTGATGAATTTAAAAATTCGACAAAAAATGTGAAGGTACCTCTAGAGCCTGAAGCCAAAAGTAAGAAATTATAATTTAGATGTTGTTGACAAGTAGTTTAGACATGAAACTTTTAGAAAGGATTTTACATGCAAATAGAAACATCTATGTCAAATTTCACAACTTTTTTGATGAATTTAAAATTTCGCCGAAAAATATGATAGTAACCCTAGGGCTCGAGGCCAAAACTAAACAAATTATAATTTAGATAATGTTGACAATTAGTTTTGACATGAAACTTTTACAAAGGATTTTACATGCAAATAGAAACATTTATGTCAAATTTCACAACTTTTTTGATTAATTTAAAATTTAGCCAAAAAATGTGATGGTGCCCCTAGACCTCGAGGCCAAAACTAAAAAAATTATAACTTAGACATTGTTGAAAAG